CTAATTCGTTACATTCTTTGGCTTGCAAATGCAAATATCATCTTACAATAACTTTTTTTTTTCTTAAAAACTCCTCCCAGAGGAGGAGTCTTTTTCAACATTCATTTTGTTGCTCTGAATTCCACCCATGTAAGCATGTAAATACTATGTCAAGAATTTCCTTTCTGTGCACACACAATCTTTCAAAGTGGTTTTGACTTTGAAATAGCTAGATTTTTACATTTCGTGATTAAACTGCCAGACCAAAAGATCTGCTACCTCATGCAATTGTATGTTGCATGTTACTTAGGCCCAACTAATACAGATGATCTAATTCCACATTCTCTTCCTAGGAAAAAAATAATAATAATAATTCTTTTTTATATCTGCCTGCTCATTCTCCACTTAAATATCCAATTAATTCTTCAAGATCTTCCATTAGTTTCTATTAAGATTGAACCATCAGAATATACTACATCAGGTTCAGTTTATCCTTACTCTGCCATGTCAACGTTTCATTTAAATATTTCATTTAACTGTTTAGCTTTAGAAAAAAAATACTAGCAGAAAATCTTGATTATTCTAAACTGGTTGACAAATTCTGTTGAAAAAGAACATTTTAGTGCTTTTAAATACAGCCAACACAACAGAATTTTGAATTCTTTTGAATGGGTTGAATATAATTATTTCTGCTGTATGTTGTGTATATATTCTTGAAACCTAAATAACATATTTTTTCAGACAGTTCTCTGGATGCCAAGTTATAATCACGTGGTGTCAAATTGTTATTTTACATGTATCTCTTGATAACTTGTTGTTGCTTGCATGATCTAGAATTGTGCTGAATATTCTAAAAGGGTGTATATTCAACCCTTTTAACTGTTAAATAACATAGAAAAACTATTTTTAAAAACAACGTAAAAACAAAACAAAACAAAAAAACTTTTCCCTTGAAACATGCGTGTCCTTTCACTGTTTCAGATGGATAAAGAAGAAGAATGAAAGCCAGATATATGAATGATAAAAATGACTTCATCTCTGCTACTCCTTCATGATCACTCTCTGCCCCTGCTCCACGTGGGGTCCCTCCCACAGGATGCCATTCTTCCTGAACTGAGCCTTCGTGGGCTGCCCACAGGCTGCAGCGCTTCAAGAACTGCTCCCACATGGCTCTGTACCATGGGGTCCATCCGTCAGGAGCAAGCTGCTGCAGCACAGGTCCCCCACTGGAGGCAGCTCCCCCCAGACCCCCTGCTCCTGCATGGGCTCCTCTCCATGGGCTGCAGCTCCGGCCCAGGGCCTGCTCCTGTAGGAGTTCTCCATGGGCTGTAGCTTCCTCCAGGCCTCCTACCTGCTCCACCGGGGGCTCCTCTGTGGGTGGTGGCATGGCAATTTGCTGGAAGTGGTCATGACATCGAGCCTGATGGAGTTCAAGATGCATTTGGACAATGCTCTCAGACATACTGTCTGATTTCTGGGTGGTCGGTCCTGTGTGGAGCCAGGAGTTGGACTCAATGATCCCTGTGGGTCACTTCCAACTCAGGATATTCTATGATTCTAATTTCTTCAGATACTTTTAGGAACTATGCAAAAGTGGTTAAAGGGAATATGTGGAAAAGAAATAGTTGCACTGTTGTGTATTGCATGTGTTAAGCTGCACTTCATTCAAACCACTACAGGCTGGAGGTAAGACAGCAAAATACTTCTAAGAATGAACACAGGTGTAGAGAAAAAAATAAAAAATAAATAAAACTCAAACATCATTGCTCTTCACATTTAATAATCCATCTCTCTTTTGTTCTCTGTTACAATACAAATCTTCACCAAGATCCCCATCCCAGACCTTCTGGCCTATGAAAGCAAACAGTCATTAGCATCTGATAAGTCAATTGGTTTGGCTTACATCCTCTGGAGGAAAGGAAAGATGAACTTTTTGCCCCTGTGACATCTAGTGTAACCAGCATCTACCACCTCCAGCCTCACAAGACAGCAGCAAACACTGAGGGCTGAGTAGTGTGAAAAAGAGGCACAACCATCTTCAGAAATCACAGAAAAGGAAATTATTGAGGAAACCACCACAGCACGGTAGTGCACAATGAGGCAGAGCGATGGTTGTGCAAAGAGACACTGCAAATGGAAGAAAGGAGTACAGGAGGCCCCTGCAGTTGTTGATCAGACAGGTTTTGTTCAGACTCTTGCAGCACAAGGATTGTGAGCAAATATAAAAATGTCTAGCCGTAAAAAGACAAAGCTAGACATCCTGTCAATTTGTCAGTTTCTCAGGCAAAAAGAAGAAACGGAGGGAAAGGAGGGGAAAAGACTTTCCCCTTTTTCCTTTTTTTTTTTTTTTTCCTAAGATGGACTGTACAGTTTATATGTTAATAAAGAGTTTTGCATAACCTTGTGAGCATCCAATATCATTTTCAAATCAAACATGATAATTAATTTGGTAACTACCAGGACAAGCAGAAGAAAGAAGGTAGCACACAGAAGGGCAGTGCTCTGACACTTTTAAGAACATGCTAAAATAACAGAGGTTGTAGATAGAACTAAGCTACTGGATTTCACTGTGCATGGCAACAAAATAGTCCTGCATTTACAGATGAGAGTTTAAGAGGAAAAAAAATTATCCTTGTGAGTGCTGAATGTTTGCTTAATAATCATCCAAATCATGACTTTACATTGTCCTGAACAGAAAAATGCCAGTTTCTGTAAAAACTGATGAACAGCATGCACAAGAAATGGAAATTATTAGAGATTAGCACACAGTGAGAAAAGACAGAGGGGTTTACCAGTTTCATACTTGATGAAAACACAAATTTAAATGATACCTCACATATGGCTATTCTTTCAAGACCCCACACTTGTGTTGCCTTGAAGAGAGAGGATACAATGGAAGCTCTGAGTAATGTTTTGAAGAGGGTAGGCAGGAATTGATTCTTAATATATTAACAGCTGATGACATTGCGGTTACAACAGAGAAGCAAAGAAGAGTTCAAAGGTTCTTGAACCACTGAATCACTCGCAGCTTTCACCACCTGACCTGCGAGAAGATCGCTTTTGTTAAATGTTAAATGTCAAACTAATAATATGATGCACACGATAAAGAAAGTAGAGAGCTTTCTCACTTTGAAAGCCAAGTGAGACTCAGTGAATTTAAACTTGTGATGAATAAATTAGATGATTATACGGAAAATTTTTCTTTCTCCATCTGACAGTTAAGACATAGCAGAAACTTTGTACTGACATGCAAACTGTTTTGATGCAACCACACAGGCTTTGCCTGAAGAAAAGACACAGCTATGCTTGACTTTTTTTATTATAAAATTATTTTAATTATAAAAAGTAACCGGGCAAGCTTACAGTCATGACTGACATGATACAGTTGTGAATGCTGGGATAGATTCTTGCAGCTTGCATTTTGTGTATTTCTTTTAATAATCCACTCCACAGGAAGAAATGGTGGCATACAGCTGATCTGGACTGGAGCTACAGACTCAAAACATCTTTGCTGCTGCGTAATCATTACAGAAGAAAGTAAATGAAACCAGAAATTACGTAAACAAAAAATAGTAAGTGGATACTGAAGTAAGAGTTTAAAATTCTCAGTGATTCTATATATATATATATATATATATATATATATATATATATATATATATATATGTATATATTCCTTTCATTCAACAGACTGACAGTCTTGTGAGTTTACAGGAACTTGCCAGACACTGGGAATACTTTCAACAGACATATCATCTACCATTTCTTCAAATTTGCACAGTATTCTGGTGAATATCAAAATGATGACACAACTGAATTAAAATAATAATAATAATAATAATAATAATAATAATAATAATAATAATAAATACTTTACAGCCAGAAAACACACTCATAAAACCATCTACAGGAAAATCCACACATTTGCAGCCTTTGTAAGACTGCAGAAGCTCCTGGGTCTTCTAAGAGAAAGAAAATTACTGAGTAATTTGGTTTTGGCTGTCACAGAATGATATGACAAATTAAAACAAAGTTGCTATGCATTTTCATATTTCTTTTTCAAAACAAACAGTACAGGAAAACTGCAAAAAAGAAACACCTTTCAAGTTAATTTTAGATGCTGTAGTAATGAAATATTATTTTCTCTCTTGCCCTTGATGACAGCACAGATATCACAAACATTAAAGAGCTAGTATCAACAAAAGTGATAGGGAAGATTTTTCATACAAAAAGAGAGCTGTCTCATATTGATACTTGGTGCCCTCAATAACAGTGCCTGTGTTTCTGAAGTAGCTCATCACGCCATAGGTGAATTTGGTGGCTTTGGGACTGTATCTGATTTTCTATAATGGAAGTTCTGTGATTTGGCTTTGTTAGGCTATTAAGGCATAACAGGAATAAATCCCAAGCAGTCTATTACATCTCTAAGCAGGAATCCTTTCATGGAGATCCTTTAAAACTGTTTGACCTTTCACAAGTGCAACCATTTAAAACTTATCTCTAGTATTAGCAGGGACATTATTATTAATATTAAATAATGAACTGAATTTGGGGATTGGACTAGATGATCTTTCAAGGTCCCTTCCAATCTCTAACATTCTCTGTGATTCTGTGTGAATTACTGAACAATAAAATAAAATAAAATAAAATAAAATAAAATAAAATAAAATAAAATGTTAATCTGTTTTCTAAGGATATGGTGAGTTGGCACAGCCATAGTAATGCTATTGGAAAAGATGTTCAACCACATCAGCCTCCCAAAACAAATAAATAGTGTGAAAGAAACATTAATTAATTTTCCCTTCCTCCTGATTATGATTTACAGAAAAGGCTTATCTGATTATGATTTTACAGAAAAGAGCACCTAGTCACCAGAGAAAAATAAGCAAGAACTGGATTTTGGTCATGTATCGCAACCTGAAATACATATATAAGGGAATCTTGTTTGGATCCCCCCAGAAATTCTGAAATGTGTTGTAAAGTAATACACTGGAAAAATCCTAGAGGGCAGCTAACTATTGGTGCAAAAAATAAGCAAGATTCTCAATGCATTATTCAAACAAGAAACTGTTCATTTATGAAGACAGTGACAGGCTACTTAATAGTAACCATTTATTTTGACACTGCCAAATAGTAAATAAAAATGCTTTCAGGTGACATGTGGAAGCATCATTACGACCTTGAGAATGTTTTGCCTGAGGAACGATCATCAGACATTTTTTATGAAATAAGTGTCCTAGGAAGACAAAGACAAATATTCAGAAGATCAAAACAGAAAAACAGCCATGGAATATTTTTTTTCCTAGCTGCATTTTGCACAGAAAATCCCAAAGGACTGCTTCAGCAACATCACTCCTGCTGTTCATCCCTGTTTTATAGCCAACTGAAGGTATCCTGCTGCTCAGTTATTTCTGTAATGGCACATGATTTCCACCAGCTGGTCCTTCTCCTTCCTGTGAAAACAGCTTCAGCTGAAGAATTCTTGCACATCACTTTTCTCTGTCAGTCTCATGGTCCTTAACTGCAATCACATGAAGCTTGTTTCAAGTTAGGTTTTAACATAAAATAAAATATCTGCTGGTGTTACAAATCTGAAAACAAATAGAAGCTTTAGCTGGCTGAAGTACAGACTGCAGGGGTTGGGTTGACCCAAAATGAGTTTTAAATTTCTCCCCTCACCCCATGCTACCAGCATTGTTCATCTCCCCACCTGCTGTATGGGAAAGCTGGTCTACAGGACTCTAACTTGGGCAACTGAAAGAAAGAGAAAGACTTGCATACATACAACCACCTGAAAATCAGTCCCTTTGCCTCCAGAGCTTCCTGGAACAGTGGCACTCTTGTATTGCTACCTGTCCTGGCTCCTCAGGGAGCCCCTCAAACAAACCACAAGTCCCATCACAACCAGGCTACTAGGGAAGCAGTGGCCTCCTTTCCCACTCTATGCCCCTCTTTACACTGTTGCATCTGGGCCGATGTATCCCTTATTTTCTCTCAGGACACCAAACCCAAAAGGTGCCTTGTTAGCACCCTCCCCTTCACCATTCTCTGTGAGTACCTCACCTGCTATCTGGCCACTGTGCAAAGCCAGTGCTTCTTCCTCTTTACAAGGCACGAGAGAGAAAAGAAAATCCACCTCTTGCCCTGTTTTTTGCTTTTTCTTCTTCCTGTGAGGCGATCCCATCCACTCAACTGTCTTGCTTCCTGGCCCCTGACTTTAGGTATGAACTTTGGCTGAAAATCTGATAAATCCCTGGGGCTCCAGCTGAACAGCCTTCTGCCCTGCACCACAGGGGATGCTGGAAGAAAAGAGCCCCAAAGGCAGAAGAGGAAGGTGTTATACAGATGTGTCCTATTTACCATGAGTCATGAGGGCTGCCAAAGGCCAAACTACACACTCTCCAGTCACCAGTCAGGAAAGAAAGGAAGCAAAAAAGCAACAGTCAAGCAACTACGTACCAGGAAGGGTACTCTGAGCTGTGCTGCCTTGCAGGGTATTTTCTGAGGGACAGATAGAACCCTTCAGGGACAACCACAAGCGACTTCTGAGAAGGGGATATCCGGAAATGTAAGAAGTGCATTTCTCCATCAGAACATCGCAGAGAGAAGAATTATCTGGTCCAGTCAGATAAATTAGGTGGGATGAGATTTGTGGTGCATTTCAAGAGTAAATAGTATAGCCACAGGGCAACCACAAACACAGACCCATGAAGATATTACAAGAGATACCAAGCCTCTAATTTCCCCACTGTAACAGCTAAAAAGAGATGATAAGGCAGAGTTCACTAACAGATTTTTGTGTGGTATCTCCACTGCTTCTGTAAATGATTGATGAGGAAATAGTATGAAATAATGAAGTTGATGAAAGTGTTTACATGGTGCTGCCTTTGGTTCAATGATTTCTCCTGAGGAGAATGCAGAGCAGTTGCAGAATGGTGTACCAGCTGCTTTTTCTGAATTTTAAGGCCACAGGCTCAGGAAGGTGCCTTTTCAAACTTGCTGGGAACTGAGCGTAGCTTCTGTATACCCATGAAACCCTATGTGTGTGTAACTGTTGAATGCATAGAGTTCTCTTCCTAGAGACACTTAAGTCCTATAAAACTGTTTTCAAGTTACCACATTCCTGGGAAAGGGTGCTATTTGAGAGAAAATATCCCCATACAATTTACAAGCAGTACGTTGCCAAGACCTTCCCCACATTAGCACCCAGCAGCATTGACTGTACCTATGTCTAACTGATGGCCAACTGATATTTTACAAATCTACATACATGGTTTTCAGGATGATAAAAGATTGCCTTGACAAGATAGATGTACATTTCTAACTGGTCCAAAACCAGCCAATGCAGAACACTGGAGTCTTAAGTACTGTTTGTATCTGAAGGGCAGAATAAGTGCTAAGTGAGTTGATCTTTATCCCACTATCCCACAGGAGCTAGCTCAGGCAGAGCCAAAACAGAGTCATACAATGGATTACAAGATAGTGAAGATACCGTTCATATTGCCAAAGATCAATTACAAGAGAAGAAACTGGCACTGTCCCCTAAACCTCTCAAAGGACAACAGCCTCTCCCTCAGGCCAGAGGCAGATCTTGTTCATAATCCCCTCTGCTTCCTGCTCCTACCTGCCTCTGGGAGTTCTCAGCTTTTCTAATGAGTCTGATTGTACAAACTAAACAAAACACACCCTGCAAACAGCTGGAAAAAAAAAATAAAAAAAATCCTGAACTGCACTGTAGCTTCAAGCTCGAACAATGCTGCACCAGTTCCCAGCGCTAGGGCCCAATGCAGCAACTGCTCCTCGCAGTGTTCCCAGAGCTGGGAACAGGCGGCTCAGCTCTGCCTCCAAGCTCCCAGGTCCCCCACGCCAACTTTCTCTCTGACACCGACATCTTGTGGCCAACTGCGGATATGACAACGCTCCTGCTCTAATGGAGATGGATGGGGCCTTACTTTCATGCTTAATTCCCTTTGGGGGAATTAAATTCCTCTTGGGGGAATCCCACTGTGGGTTTCGTAATCTCTCTACAGGCCAGCTGGATCAGAGTCAGAGCCCTATAAACTAAAAAGCATTAGAGACAACAATGTGCTGAACTTCAGCAAGCTTAACTTCCCCATACAGAAAGCAGGCAGGACAAGCAGTTATCCATACAAGAGGTGAAAAAATAAATTGTGAAAAAGTGAGTAATTCTAGCAGTATTTACCATTAAGGTTCTGTTACTTCTATTATTTTAATGGAGATGTCAACATTGTAGCACTGATGCTGATGTGACTGCTTTTGTATGTAGAAGGCACTAAAATCTGACCTTGCTGAAAGGTTCCAATGTTTATTCCAAATTCATTTACCAGTAAATACCATTAAAGGGATCTACTTGTATATACATCAGCTGAAGAATTTGTAATGTTATAAACTCTAGTTTAGATATAAGTTACAGAGTTATATTGGATTTGTAGTCATCCAAATTTAGAAGCCTTCTAACTTCACAGAGCAATCTGTTCTAATCCATTAGCCATTGTGTTTTACGATTAGGACATAGAAGTCTTTGAAGAAAAATACTATTAAGAGACAACATTCAGGCTATTTATCTCAATGAGCACACATTTTCACTCACACTCTCTGCTATTCTTGGCACCAACTAACAAATCACTGAAATGCCACATCTTCACCAGTAAATTAAGAGATGTCTGGGAATATTCCTAGGCACTCAGGCCAACCAATAAGGAGGGACTTATGTATATGCTAATAAAATCTCTCATCCTCTGAGCAGGCTGGCTGCACACAAACTGACTCAACAGCTCTGGACGAATATCCAGAATTCCTCGTAAGTGTATTACTTGGCACAGGCTAGAATTGTGCTAGCAAGTGCCTAATATTTTAATAGAGTAGATAATCGCACTCCATTGCCCAGGCACTGTTTAACTTACAAGCACAAAAGTAGCCAAAACCTACATTGGGGAGTGTCCAAATACACGTTAAACACTGTGATACATACTGGGTGAAGTCAGCTACAAGAATTCTACTAACGTCATTTGAAATTTCCAAACATTTTTGAAGCCCTAGATTCAAATTTTTTGTGACATCAGTATTATAACTAAAAGTAAACAGTTTACGTATGCCACTTTTTGCAGTATTTCTATCACTTGCTTCTGAAATGATATCTGAATGTTACCTACCAGTATACTCATCTTCTAATTCAGGAGAGAGAAGGTACACTATTCCTTAAAAGCTAATGCTTCCAGAAAAGTGCCCCAGAATTTTATCACAACATATGCTAAACTTAGGTTGATGTATTTGTAAAAAGTTTCTTTGAGCTGAACACATCAAATGATACTCACCTAAAATGGTACACAGATCCAAGAACTAAGCAGCAAGAGCCTAAAAAATGGAAAAATAAATAAATAAATAAATAAAAAGGAGCTGAAAAAAATAAGTCATTCAGACAAACACTCAAAATCATTGCACCAAAAAAACAAGAGTGCAACATAGGAATCAGTAATATGTATTACTGTGACTTGCCACACTTAATAAACTTGCAAGAATTTAGTAGTATTGAAGTGGAGTGCATCTCACAAACAGAACATTTTCACATAAAACTTTCAAACTCTCTTTCCTTGTTTCTACAATGATGACTGAAAAAAATAGTGAAAGATATTTTAAAATTATCATTATAACATGTGAATAAACAGTGATCAAAAACCAACAGAGTTGTCCAAATGTTTTCTCTTGCTCTCTAAACTGTTTCTAGATCTAGATGAAACACAAAACAGGACGAATATTTTCAGCATTGTTCTGGGAGTCATTGAAGTGATTTAATTGAAGATTATGTGATAAGCAATTCATCATCATTTGCTGTTGAAGTTAATGATAATGCAAAAGACAGCTGATGTTCACAAGAAAACTACCAGAAAAATTATACAGAACACCTGTGTGACACGGTCCCAGTTTAAAACTGACGGGTCACATAAAAGAGAGGTTTTGCAACTGAACCTGATGTGTTCTTTAAAATAAATAAATAAATAAATCTGAGAGCATTCCTGCAAAACAATTCATAACTACACTTGTCACAATGTCAGATGTGTATTTGTAACATTTTGGCCATATTTTAGACTGCCAGTGGGTGGTATTAACAGCACCATTAGCCCATGCTGTGGGGAACAAATATGCTATTCAAACTGATTACAGAAGAGAAAGTAGCTTGTCACACAATCCTACTGAAAATGCTGTGTGCATCACGGTCCAATACATTACTGCACTCACATTGTGTTGTGGCTGCACACGTTCTATTACAACAAATTTCTAACTCTTTAAGCACCATCAGCAACTTCCTATAGTCCCCAGGTACAAAATTGGTGTTTAAAAACAGTAAACTGATTTGTCACACCTCTATTCAGACCGGTATCAGCCAATATCTTGTCAGTATCACTCTGTGATATTAAGGATACAATAAATTAAAGCAGTTGCTACATAGGCTAGAACGTTATAATTGCTCAGTATCCTTACACATTGCCACTTTTCATCAATCAGGCTGTGAAAGGCCAAGTAGGTTCAAATCTATTTTTGAAACTAATTTATTAACACAAGTTAGACTGATATAGATTAGTTTGGCATACCTTGCAATTTTCGTGATTTTTTGTAAAAGAAAAACAGCATTTGCTTCTTTTTCATTCACTGCCAAATATGTCTCTTCTAAGATCAAAAAACATACCCCACAGATTTGCAGAATGAGTGACATACAATGACTAGCACCTAGACCACTGCTTGAAGGGGAAAATATCAGTACATTATAAAGAAATATTTCACCGGTCCACCACTTACTGGTGATGGAAAACACAGGTGCCATCTGTGAAGACTTGAAGGTAGCCACTGACAACTTAAACCAACATGAAAGGCACTCAATATTCCTGAGGAAAATGAATTTAAGAAGTATGACCGTCTGCTTGTTCCTGAGCACGCCAGTCTATGCAGACTGTTTTATTCCATTAAGCAAAAGAGATAAAGGTCCAAACAGTCAGAAATAATTTCACTCATATTTCTGTGGACCATGACAGCACAAACAAAAGTGATCCTGCACATAATTTTCAACATTTCTTTGCAATGATCTTGAAGGAAACATATTTTGCTGTTTTAGGCTTACTAAATTTTTAGCTTTACTGTTTCTCTTTACTTCCCAGCAACATTTTCTGACATTTGCACTTACACAGACATTCTTTTGAGATTAAAACAGGAAAAATCATTTGCTCAAAGCATACCAGGATTGTAATACCTCATCACATAGAGTGTACTTTTCAGAACACATAACATTTAAGATTAGACGGGAACTGGTACAATGTGTGACATAAGTAAACTTGACCAGTATTCCATCTGTATATTATGTCTTTTTTTTAATATATATATAAATATTTCTTTTCCTTTCATAATAATTTCACAGCTGACATATCTGTATATACATAAAATAAGGAAATGGAGAACAAAAGTATTTTTAAAATAGGATGTCCCTTGTGTAAACACTACCTACCATGCTGCTTATTAGAGAACAGATTTTGATCTGTTTTGATCTGAAAGTTAATACAATATTTAAATTATTGATTAGAAATATGCAGTATCATTCTGAATCACCTTGGGTTACCAACGGTAAGGCCAACAGGTTATTGTATTGGGTCTGGCTGGAATGTTAACTTTCCCAGCAGCAGCCCATACAGTGCCGTACTCTGCAGTTGTAGCTGGAACAGCAGTGTTATCACACCAGTGTTGTGTCTGCTGCTGAGCAGCAGTGGCACAGTATTAGGCCTTTCTCTAACCCTCTTAGGGGGTGGGCAAAAGGTGAGGAGAGAAACATCACTAGGGCAGCTGGCCTAAACCAATCAAAGGAATATTCCATACCATGTGATGTCACACTCAGCAATAAAAGGTGGAAACAGGAAGAAGAGGGGAGGGGTGGGCTCTCGTTTGGAAGACGTCGGTCCTCCTCTCGAACACCGGCTGCGTGCGTTGAGGCCTTGCTTCAAGGACGTGGTCAATCATCGCTCATTTGTGGGAAGTAGAGAGTAATTTCTTTCCTCTGCACTTCCATATAGCCTTCATTTATTTTGTTTGTTTGTTTTCCTCCCTTCTTTTTATTTTCCTTTTTTCCCCTCCCTTTCCCCTTTCCCTTTTTATTTCCCCTTAGTTAAATTGTTAGTTCATGGTAGTCTTTATTTAATTATTATAATTACTTCCCTTTAATTAAACTATCCTTATCTCAACCCGTGAGTTGTTCTTTGCTTTACTTCTCCCCCTCCTCATCTAAAGGAGGGGGAGTGAGAGAGCGGTTGTGGGGTTTAGTTGCCCAGTACGGTAAAACCACCACAGTTATAAGGGTATGAAAACACAGTATGCACAAAACATAATCCATTTTCAAATAACTAAAGTGTGCTAACACCTGGATTTTTCTGCAGCATAGCAGAGGTATCAGACAAAAATGTCTTTCACCTAAAACTGTTCCATAGATGCTTTGTGAACTCTTATGCTTTCAGTGTTTGTTTGCTCTCTAGCAATGTATGGAGCAGACGTGACTTGCAAATGTGGCCAATTTCTCACTTCTTACGTGCTGCAAGGGACCTGTGCTTCACTATACGTGCTGCAAGGGACCTGTGCTTCACTATTCACTATTCCATGTATCTAACCTACAGATAACCCTATACTTAACCATCTGTTCCAAACTCTGTTCCACCTTCCTTCTACCTAGAGAGCCTACTGGTAAAGAGAATGATTATTCTGTTGCTAAATGTCATGGCTTTGGCCAGGACAGTTATTTATCTTTGTAGGGGTCCAAACAGTGCAGTGTTTTGGATTTTTGATGAAAATAGTGGTGATAACACACTAATGTTTTAAGTTGTTGCAGAGCAGTGTTTGCATATAGCACCAAGGACTTCTCACAGTTTCTCATGCTGCCCTGCCATAGAGGAAGCTGGGGGTGCACCAGGAGCTGGGACAGGACACAGCCAGGACAGCTGACCCAGACTGGCCTCCATATCATATGATGTTGTGATCAGCAATTAAAGCTGGGGGAAAGAAGAGGGGTGGTGGTGACATTCAGAGCAATGGCGTTTGACTTCCCAAGGAACCATCATGGGTTATGAGCCCTGTTTTCCTGGAAGTGGCTGAACACCTGCCTGCAGATGGGAAGCAGTGAATGAATTCACTGCTTTGCTTTGCTTGCAAGCATGGGTTTTCCTTTACCTAGTAAACTGCCTTTACCTCAGCCCATGAGTTACCACACTTTACCTTTCCAATTCTCATCCCTACCCCAGCAAGGGAGAGTGAGTGAGTGAGTGGCTGTGTGGTACTTAGCTGCCTGCCAGGGCTAAACCACAACATTACCTCAGATAAAGATCACGTACTTGGCAAAAGGCCACAGCACTGTTTCTAGTAGGACTTAGTCCAGAGAATTTTCAGCTTCATATGGCCATCCCTATATGCAAGCAAGCCTTGAGGGAACAGGAAGGAATCTTTTGGAAAAACTGCATGGATAGCACACTCTTTTCAGTGCCTGCTGTATTTCACATTCGCACAAAGCTTACAGTTACACTAAGCTACACCACAGCTGGTCTCTGATGAATTACGTTTCTGTTTAGTATGTTCTTTATGACCCGTTGTGTTGTCCTGTTATGCCAGCCTAGGCCTGCAGGCATAGCCCCACTGGTTTGAAGACAGAAAAGGCTGTGGTCCTTTGCCAAGGCCCTGTTTGTCTAATGGGACGTGCCTAAGATCCAGGCTATGGTAACTACCCACACAGCTTGGCAGCCTTTCAGTCAGATGATCAGGCTGTCCTTGCAGGAGCAGGGATTACAGGGTTTCTGTCCTGCAGGCTTTCCTGATGCAGTTCAAACAAATCCAGAAACTGTATTTGTACTGCCTGCATTTCCTTTTTCACTTTCTAGCTGGATCTTGGTGCCTGTCATCTGTGACTGTCTAGCAAGTCTACCAACCTCGTTTTTCAACTTGGTTAACGAGTATAAAACTTAGCTGTCACAGAAGAAAAACTATTTAATCCTGCATTTCACATTCTAACAGATGAAAGCAATAATCACACTACTTCTCCCTCTTACCTGGTTATTTTTTTTTTCTGTGAGCTTTTTTCACCTGTTTTCCAATGTCCAAACAACGTCAGCCCTGAAGTGCTGGGTCTGACAGCACTCCCCTATATTGGTGTAATATTGATATTATCGAGCTGTCTGCTGGTTAATCTCCAAACAACATTGGGATAAAATGGATTGCAGTAGCAACCATTTGTCTTATGGTGGAACTCAGATGAGGAGGGCAGCAAATATTTCACACACCAGCACTACATTCAAATCAATGGTCGTGTTAACCAACACCCTGTGAGCAGCAACCTCCTATACTCTTTAATTTTTCATATTCGGGCCGGGATCCAACCAACTGTGCATCCACGCCAATAAAACACATCATCGGAACAAACTCTGTTTATTTTCATATTTATTCCAAAATCCGGCGGGATCAAGACATCTTTTCAAACCAGGTCTCACAAGGTCCCACTCGGCTGCAGCAATACACATTTAATTTGAAAAAATAAAATAAAAAGCAGGATTTTTTTGTGTGCCGTTCAGTCACCTCACACGCCCACCCGCCCCCTGCGGCCCCGCACGGCCCCCTGACGGGCAGCCCCCGCCCGCCGCGCACGCGGCTCGCCCTGACAGGCCGCCGCCGCCGCCCTTGCGCCCTCCCCCCGGCGGCGCCCTCCAGTCCCCAGCGCCAACGTCGCGCTGCGCCCGGCGGGCGGGCGGAGAATCCCCGCTCCCTCCCCTCCCCGCTGCCGCCCCTCCGCTCGCAGCGCGGCTGCGCCACCACGCTCGTGGCGGCCGGCGGTTGGCGGCCGGCGGGCAGCCAATGGGCGCGCGGCAGCTCAGAGCAGGGCGTGCAGCTGCGCGCCGACGGCCCCGCGCGCTCCTCGCCGCGCCGCAGCGGAGCCGGGCCGGGCGGCAGCAGCAGCAGCAGTAGGAGCAGTAGGAGCGGGAGCAGCAGCGGCGGGATGAGGCGTCGCGGGGTGCGGGCGCTGCTGCTGCTGCTGGGGGTGGCGCTGGCGCTGGCCGTGCTGGCGCGCGGCGCGGCGGCCGAGGAGGACGAAGGTGAGCGCGGGATGGGGGGGATGGGGGGGGGTGTGTGGGGGGGGCAGGTTGCCTCAGCGCGTCATTAAAGCAGGGTCCACGCAGAGAATCCGGCGCGGAAAAGGCGGAGGAAAGCAGCTTTCCTAAATACGGCTTGTCCTTACTTAGACTACAGGCTCCAGAGGATGAGTCCGTGGTTGTTACAGGAATGCGTGTTCTCCGTGAGGTATTTTGGGAGGCCTGGAGTCCTGATTTTACGTGCCTTTATCATGCCTCCACCTCTGGGGAGGAGGAAGTGGGTGTGTGTACTGACCATACATCCGTGTCAAAGCTTCGTGTTGGCAGGCTGTGCAGCTGCTTCCAGGGAAAGATATAAAATTACTTCAGTGATACACGTGAGATCCAGTGGTTTAGTGTTTTTAATTTGAGCAGAATCTCCACGCGTGATTCTTGGTTCTCACCTTTCCAGGCTCCGAGCTTACGCTGCTGTTACTGCAGCGGTCTTTTTCTTACTGGAGGGAAGCCAATGTTGTGAGCAGAAACAAGAGCTGCAGTCTGGTCAGTTTCAAAGCTGCACGAGCAGAATTGACTAATGAGTTTTGCTCAAGTTCCTTCCTCGTTAAAAAGTCAAGGCTGATGTGCTTTGCTTGGAAAAGCAACGGGTATTGCACAGCTCCCTGGGAATCCAGGCACACACCAGCCTGGAACTCCCTGCAGTAAAACACAGCCCTCGAATCTACTGAGCACTGATGTCAGCAGAGGTTTTGGCTGCTGAACACCCCTGACAGCTAGCTTTCTCACAGCGGCATTCCCAAATGTAAATAAATGAATGCCCTAGGAATTCTCTTGCAGTGTGTCTGGAAGCTCAGCCCTTCTACTACTGCAAGTGCTCTGAGGCAGCAACACAGAAGGCATTGTCCAGTTGTAAATAGTGCTGTTAGCTGATGTTTAGATGAGAGGGAAACAGTAGTAGTTGTTAAGAAACTTAATCCAGGTGACTTCCATTGTGTGATAAATGATCTCCTGTGATCTCTGACCGTGTTAGAGACTTCACTATTTTGGCATTGTATAAAATTGGGTTCTAATTAAAATATACACTCCTCTAGAAAATATGTTTATGCAGAGAGCATATGCGCTTACTTTTTTTAGTATCTTTTAACATAAAAATGGTTATTGTTGTGTAGTGGTATAATGTCCATGATGAGAATGTTGCTCTGGTTTGCTGTTGGCCTGAAAATAAGTTGGGTTTTCTTCCATTTTTTCCTGCTTGTACCTGGCCACTGAATATTACATATTTGTAATTCTTGACTTCAAATTCCAGGCAAAATCAAGAGTGTTTTCAGAATTCTTGTCCTGGACACATAGACTATGTGTACGTTATCTACTGCCTACTGCAGTCCTGCATGTCAATGTAGTTGAAAGCTAGCTAAGCTTAGGTAGAGAATATATAGTTTTGAACAAGGAAACTTTTAATCTTCTTCCTGCTTTTTTAACCATGGAACTCTATGTGGCTAAAAGGACCTTAGTTACACTGATGCATGTTTTACATTAGGGATGAGGTACTGTCATCATTTGTTCTGTGACTGAAATTCCTATAAAAACATTCAGTAAGGTTTGTTTGCCTAGCATTATAGCAGTTTTAACAACGTCTTTAAAAGAAGACGAGAATGATCAAATGTTAAAGACACCATCTCAGATTCTAAGGCAGACTGAACTGTTTGAAGTGTTTTGGCATCAGATTTCATGTGCAAGTCCTGCTTCTCAAATTGAGCAAATCTGTCTTCTCCAAAGGCCTGTTCTAGACCAGTGGTTTTGGACTCCTGAAACCAAAGGGCCCCCTGGGTGGGGGGCCTCACTCCATTTGTTTCAGAAGGGCATCTTGTATCCATCATATGCCTGGGGATGGGTTTGCAGGGGTGTGTTATGTGACAGTCAGTCTGTTTTTACACTCGCTCCACAGCCTGGTGCTGATTCTGAGCTTACAAGCAGAGCGATGCTTTTGCACGTAGAAAGCCTCTTTAATGAATTGAAACATCTCTGTAACTGAAAGCAGGATAGGTTGGGGTGGCAGGGCTGGGCTTAAGCAGTTGGGGATGGAAACAAAAATTCCCAAACTTGGGCAGCTGTCACTGGATGTGGAACAGGAACTAACCTAGTACTACTTTAACTACAGGATACATCTAATCCATCTTTAACCTGGTAGTTATTGAAACATTAAGCTTGACACAATCTAGTCTGTACTGCACTTTTTTAATTCTACTTTTCCAGAATCACTTACAAAAGAAATTGATGATGATGATGATGACGACGATGATGAAGAGGAAGATGATGACGATGATGATTCTGAAGTTAAAGAAGAGAATGGTGTGTTGATCTTGAATGATGCAAACTTTGACACCTTTACTGCAGACAAGGACACTGTGCTGCTGGAGTTCTACGCGCCATGGTGGGTTCACGGTCTTCAGCACCTCCTTAGGTGGCAGGATGGGATGGGTGCTGGGGGGTTTTTTGGCAATATGCAATCCTAAAAGGTGAGCTTGGGCTATTGTTTTTGGGGTAGAGATGTTTGCTTGTTTGTTTCTACTCTTTACCAAGTATCTATCTGAACGGTTTTAGGGAGTGAGGAGTTGTTGATACCGTTTCCTCACGTTAGTAGGCTGTGATTCTAAAAGCAGATGTTTGGGTCATGACTGGTTTAAAAGCATAGGTGGTTTCAAAGGCCAAGGAGGACCAGTACTGGACTGTGCTGTTGTCCAGGGCAGGAGATGGTTCTGGAGGTGTCCCTTTCCCTGCTCCTGTAAAGCATGCAGTTTTCTGTCACCACGCGTTTAGGTCATACTGAGGGCTCCTGTGCCAAGGGAAGCACTGCTCAGGGTCTGTCGCTGCTCTGTTCTTGTCAGGGAACAGAGATGGTCCCAGTGAGCCCCAGAAAAGTTGTGCAGTATGACCGTGCAGCCTGCTGTCTTGTCCTGTTGGCCTACCTAAAACCAGTGTACTTCTAGATGTACTTCTAGAAGGAGGCTTCCCTAGCTGGGAGGTTTTCCTTTTGAAGTTCCAGTCTTTGTCCTTGCCAGAAGGATGCAGGTGTAAGGATATAGTTCCTTCATACTTCTAGTTTAAACAGTGCCACGTACACCAGCAGAATTTTGATCGTGTACTGCTGAGTTACACCAGTACACTCAGGAGCTACCATGGATTTACCTGTGTACAACTGAGACAGAGAACTTAAACCAGAATGTATCCTTTTTTTTTGCATTATTATGGGCAAAAATAATGAGGATCATTAATGGGAAAAATAAGAGTAGACTATTTGCAGTCAAGCTGGTGCATTAGTGCTGCTGCCAGAACCTCTCTTCCTTTGTGGCTTAGTGATATAATTGGATAAGTCTTTTGACTTACCCATGTGTCCTGTTTCATAGAATCATAGAATATCCCAAGTTGGAAGGGACCCATAAGGATCATCAAGTCCAACTCGGCAGCGCACAGGTCTGCCTAAAAGTTTAGACCATGTGACTAAGTGCACAGTCCAATTGCTTTTTAAATTCAGACAGGCTTGGTGCAGTGACTACTTCACTGGGGAGCCTGTTCCAGTGCGCGACAACCCTCTTGGTGAAGAACCTATTACTGATGTCCAGGACTTTTTCTAGTCTTTGAGTGGAGGTGGTGGGGGGGAGTTTGATCTTGCTTAAGGGAGAGTTGTGGTTTTTTTCTAATACCAGTCTCATCACGTGGAAGCCTATTCCTTTTTGGCAACTGTAGTTTGCCAGCTTGAAAACTGAACGTGAAGCTTAATATAACCATGTAGAAGGATGTGTTGTCACCACAGACTAGACACTTCTTTTTTTCCTCCACCCTCTCCTGCCAGTTGAGAGGCTAAGGAATACAGGCTGTCTGTTACATGCTACTTTTTTTTTCCTGTTCTGTCTTCAGTTTGTCAAGCTATATTCAGCTTCTCATATGCTGGTATCCTCTGCTGTGCCATTTTTTGCAGCAGTAAGTCATGTTCTTCCCAGAGAGTTTTGGCATGGTCAGAGAGAACAGGTGTTATGATATGAGAGTGGATGCGAGGTTTCATTAAAGCCCAGTTAACTTCTGGTTCATTTTTCTCTTCAGTTTAATTTTAGGGTACCATATAGAGAAGATGAACCCAGATCAGATTAGGGAGAAGCTGAAGTCTGAGTGAAATGTTATCTGGGGGCAGGGAGGAGAAGCACAGTACAAGGTTTGCAACTTTGTAGAAGTAGTCATTAAATTTTCTTACAGAGGCTTTAAGAAGCATATGTGGTATCTTTTGAATAGGGGTGGGAGTGGAAAAAGAAGAAAGGTTGTGATTTGAGTGAACTAGCTACAGCATCTCTTGCCCTCTCACCACCACTACCACCCCCCATGAGTCTGAAAATATAGCAAGACAAATACTCTTGATACTGTGAACATCTGGTAGAAGGCCTCCTGGAAATGTGGGGTAGTAAAATACGTCTCCATGTCTGCCTTGCATTTATCTGTCTACTTTTGTCTTTTACAGGTGTGGGCACTGCAAGCAGTTTGCTCCTGAATATGAGAAGATAGCCAAAACTTTGAAAGAAAATGACCCTCCTATTCCAGTTGCCAAAATTGATGCTACTGCAGCCACTTCGCTAGCAAGTCGTTTTGATGTCAGTGGCTACCCAACCATTAAAATCCTGAAAAAAGGCCAGCCTGTTGACTATGATGGTTCTCGAACAGAAGATGGTAAGCACCGGTCCTTTACAGTTCTTCATGACAAAGCAAGGAATTATATTGTTTTGCTACTCAGACCATGTATTATCAAGGACTTTGATCTCAAATTCCATTGTGTTAAGAGGAACAGCATTATGAAGGCTGAAATTTTGTCCAGTCTTCTAAATTCTCTGTACTAGAAGGTAGTTCTGCAGGTAGTGTGTAGTGCTTTTAGTGAGGAAAGGTTTTTAAAATTTTGACTTGATTAGAGTAGGAGGTATTGTTGTGCTTGATGAGAGATCAGCCAGTAGGAAACATCAGGTTTGTAAATTGACATTGTGTATAAAACCCTGTGTTTCTCACTTAATGAAATTGTCTATCTTCACTCCAGTCAGAAGGAAAAACTACCTTTTCTGTCTGCTTTGAATGGAATTCACATAATAACTTGCTGTGAAGTATAGACTGTGTTCTGCATAATTAAGGTGTTGAGTAGGTGAAGAGAATATTAAAGACCTTGGCAATACCAGCAGTAAAGTAGACTATAAAGGAGCTTTATTTAAAAAAAAAAAAAAGTGATATAGTGTAAACCAATATAAAAACTTGACTGTTTGTTCTAAGACCGTGCTTGCTGCTCTGATATCTTGATGTTGACTCTTTCTTTTGATATACTACGGATATGATAGCGCAAACTTTAACTGGGCTATTGAACTATCTTTCAGAAATTGTAGCCAAAGTCAAGGAGGTTTCTGACCCCAACTGGACCCCTCCACCAGAAGCTACAATGGTATTGACCCAAGATAACTTTGATGATGTTGTGAATAGTGCTGACATAATTCTGGTGGAATTCTATGCTCCATGGTAAGCAGGAATGCAGTCACCTCTGCTTTACTAGCACAGCTGGTCTGAACGTGCTTGGTGAAGCTGTTTTCTGTCATTATGTCTCTAATAAAGAGGCTTGCATCTCTTTCACTGCAGAGGTAAAGGTAACTAGCAGGACTATACATGTACATCGTAAAAATTGCCTTTCACCCTCCTCCTTTCTTAGGTGCGGACACTGCAAAAGGCTTGCTCCAGAATATGAGAAGGCTGCTCAGGAACTCAGCAAGCGCACACCTCCTATTCCTCTGGCTAAAGTCGATGCCACCGCTGAAACTGACCTTGCAAAGAAGTTTGATGTTAGCGGCTACCCAACTCTGAAAATATTCCGCAAAGGCAAACCTTATGACTACAATGGTCCCCGAGAAAAATATGGTATTGTGCCTTCTCTTTTATTTTCTTTGGGCTTGACTATAAATGTATTGATGTAACACTAGAGCTTGCAAACTTGTTCGCATCCTAGGAATAGTAGTTAGAGGAACCTGAAAAAAAGATGTAGTCATATCTACACAAGCCAGCAGAATAAATTAGTCTTATCTTTGTAACATCTTATGGTGGCACTGTAAGCTCCTTTTAATATAAAGTAAATGTACAAGCTGGCAGTATGAGTAAATGAGCAGCCATTAGTTGCCCTGCTGTGTAAGGGCTGGTGAAGTGCTCGGTAATATTTAGAGAAGAATTAGCAATATCCGAGTGGAATCATGTCTCATAGCAGGGTCACAAGACTATGGAGGTTCTAAAATTTCAAAAAGATGAATTACTGGGAAGGTAATTGGATCTGATATCCATGGAAGTCCTTGAAAGCAGCCTAAAAGTGACTATCCAGAACTGAAGCCTTTGAAGACCATGACTGCAGTCCTGTTGATGTGGTCTCTTGGTTGTTGTGGAAAGGCTGCACAGAAAGAAAGATGTCAGTGGGGAATATGGTATTAAACGATGCTGTAGAGAAAATGCCTGAACCTTTCAGTTCAGTAAATGTTCTAAGCAATTTCTTGGGGTTGGGTTTGTCTCACAGGTATTGTCGACTACATGATTGAACAGGCTGGTCCTCCATCTAAACAGATTCAGGCTACCAAGCAGGTACAGGAATTTCTGAAGGATGGGGATGATGTCATCATTATTGGTATCTTTAGTGGGGAGACTGACAAAGCCTATCAGCTCTATCAGGAAGCAGGTAAGGAATATTCTAAAATATTAGAAGACCAGGTTGTTGATATTCTGTCCAAGACTTCATGCATGAGAAGTTCCTTTATATTTGCTCTGAATTCAGTAAGGGACTTAAAGAGGGAAAAGGAGACTGAAGGATGATCTTCCACTTTTACTCAAGGAAAAAAGCTCATACCAGGTCTTGATTGTGTAACTGAAGTATCAGCCAGTCACAGGACATAATCTCTTGATGTTGCATCCCTAAAAATCTATGCAGTGGAGGGGAAAGAAAATTCCTAGCTGAGGAACAAGTCACAGCTTCTTGCTAGCTTTGTCATATGCTTTTGCTGGCTTCATATCTGACAGTTCCAGAGGCTGGACTCCACTGAGTTTATTATCATCATCCATCTCTGGGTCAGTTTAGCTTGACCATTCCCGGCAATGCTTATTTTTACCACCACATTGACATAACATAGTCCTGTTAACAATTTTTGCTACCATGTGTAAGAGGCAAAGCACTGTAAGTCTTTGTGTCTCACAGGATTGATTTACTTACAGCCACTCACTTCTCTCAAGGCTCAAACAGAAAGAAAGGGCTATTCCTCATGACATGGCTATGCCTGTTTCTGGGGCTGCCATTGTTTATATCTGGATTAAGAGCTGATCTGGCAGTTCTGGCATGGCAAGATACAGAACTGTCTCCCATGTTTCCCAGTTTGGAGGTGAGAGCTGTTACCTAAGACTCTGGGCCATAACATGTCTGAGAGAATTTCTGTGCAGTACAGTACTAAGATTTTGGTTGAAGGCTGTCAATTCAGTTCTTTACGACTCTTCATTTTTCTTAACCTTTTTTCAGCTAATGGCTTAAGAGAAGACTACAAGTTTCACCACACCTTCAGCAATGAGATTGCAAAACTATTGAAAGCATCTCCTGGAAAACTGGTTGTAATGCAGCCAGAAAAATTTCAGTCAAAGCACGAGCCCAAGATGCATGTTTTGGATCTTAAAGTGAGTAATTGGTCCAAAGCTACAAAGTTTCTTAAGAGATCGAAGGCTTTATTTGTATGTATGAGCAGTTGGCATCTTTCTGATGGAAATAGTCCATTACATATTTGAGGTGACCTGTTTGTCTCCTGAAATTATTTTGGTTTGTTCTTCAAAACTTTATGAAATTAACACAGAGATTATACATTCAAATAATTTACTACTGCAATGTTCAGGTTAGGGGTAGAAAGCTAAATAATTATTAATGCTTAAGGATTTGAAGAATATGGTGAGGGCATTGTTTATAACATGCCACTTCCTTAGTCATGCATGCACAAATACTAGTTTCCAGTACTGTGTAACAGAAATGCCACTTATTCGCATGTCTTTTCCCTGTTTTTCTTTTTTTTGGCAGGATTCTACAGATGGATCAGAGATCAAAGAGCACGTGCTAAAACATGCTTTGCCTCTAGTTGGTCATCGCAAGCCTTCCAATGATGTTAAAAGATACACGAAGCGTCCTCTAGTGGTTGTCTATTATACTGTAGACTTCAGTTTTGACTATCGTGTTGGTAAGTTCACCATCCCTCTTCTTTGGAAGGAAGCAAGCGATAAGTAATTAGAAATCACTAATCCTGTTGTATTCTGGTTCTTTAGCTACTCAATACTGGAGAGGCAAAGTTCTGGAAGTGGCCAAGGACTTCCCTGAATATGTGTTTGCTGTTTCTGATGAGGAAGATTATTCTTCTGAAATAAAGGATCTAGGACTTCTTGAGAGTGGAGAGGATGTCAATGTTGCCATTCTGGATGAAGGTGGCAAGAAATATGCCATGGAGCCAGAGGAGTTTGATTCTGATGTACTCAGGCAATTTGTGCTGGCATTCAAAAAAGGTATAGTTTCTAAAAAGAAAAAAGCCATTTGCTTGTTTTCCTTCCATCACTTTTTCCCGGTATTATGGCTACAATAAAATCATATGTGCAACCTTATGGTGCTCTGTAGCTTAAAACTTTTGGATGATTCTTGCCTTTTTTTTTCTTTTAACCTTGGTACATTAACTTTGTTGTTTTAGCTATGCTGTGGCATCTAGCTGACACTAGCTAATATCTAGCTAACACTGAATGTGTTTGCTAAGCCTAAAAGCTGCTTGTAGCTTTGAAGTGCCTGTTGATCATTCATATTCATGGCTAGTATAATAAATCACTGTCTAATACATTATGGATGGATACCAGAAAAAAAGGGAGGAAGCTTATAGAGAACTGAAATATTGTTGCCAATATTTCACAAGCTTGCCATACTAAAAAAATAGTCAGCAAGCTAGCCAGTGTTTCCTGTAGAGGTAAGCTTATTTATTGGTGCAACACTTTTCCTTGGTGTGAGAATGTACTTCTGCCCTTTCTTAGGGGAGATCATAAGGATTGTTTTTACTCTACACTAATAATGGTGTGTGTTTTCCTTTCTCCTAGGAAAACTGAAGCCTATTGTGAAGTCCCAGCCGGTGCCAAAAAATAACAAAGGGCCCGTGAAAGTGGTAGTGGGTAAAACTTTTGATACCATAGTAATGGATTCAAAGAATGATGTTCTCATAGAGTTCTATGCCCCGTGGTGTGGACACTGCAAGAAACTAGAACCAGTGTATAATGAGCTAGGCAAAAAATACAAGAATGAGAAAAATCTAGTCATAGCCAAGATGGATGCTACTGCCAACGACGTGACAAATGACCACTACAAAGTAGAAGGATTCCCTACTATCTACTTCGCTCCGAGGGACAAGAAGAACAATCCTATTAAATTTGAAGGCGGGGACAGAGATTTAGAGCATTTGAGCAAATTCATAGAGGAGCATGCGACAAAACTCTCCAGAACAAAAGAAGAGCTTTAGATAAGATGAGGGATGGTAAAGAAAGAATTTTTTGTACCTTGTAGTTTAAAGAAAGTTACCGACAAAACTTCCTGAGAGAAGAATTCAGCAGCTGGAACAAGGAAATTGTTGAGCAGTAAAGCAATTGCAGTATGTCTTTTTTGCATTGCAGGAAAGTTTTCTCTGGACACTGAACTTCTATGATATGAATGTCTTACGTTAGTTATGGTTTTGATCTTTGGAGGAAAAATACATCCTTTATTTTTTGTGACTATCTTGACCTTGATTCTTTGATTTCAATGCAACTGTTTTTTAGAAGTTAAAAGATACTACCAAAAAGAGAGAACCAAATTCCTCTACCAAATATATTTGTCTTCTTTGTTGGTATAGTTACTTTGGGAGCAAGAGAGCTTAGCTTCCTGCTATATTTCTGTATACTTACTCAGGTGACTGTATTACTGTATAGATTGAGGGTAAGAAAGGGGGTTTTCTAAAGTGTGGATGAAGTACTCAGTGCTATTGAGATAAGACACCAGTAATGTGCTAACTAAATACACACTAGACTTGTCTGCTTTTGATTTATGGATCTCTGTAGAGCGAGTGATGATATAATAATGAGAAGTCACTTAGAAAAATTTGATATGTGTTCATATTGACCAATTTATATCTTAGTCTTCCCAAATATGTTTTGGAGCAATTGGAGCATGATGGAAATAGCATCTAGTGGGGCTAGTGCTTGGATTCTGATATCAGGTCTGTGTGTTGCTGTCTCGGAGAAGATAGTGTTTGGTACTGATTCTTCTGTGAGAAAGACTGGACTTAGCAGTCCAGAAACAGCCTGCCTTTTTCCAGAGCTCTGATGCTATAGCGTGTGCCACTTGAGTGTCACTGGAGCAATTTTGCAGCAAACTTAACTTTACAGGTAATGCTCCTGACCTAGCAGCATTGTTTTCTGTCTTAGAAAAGACCAAAAGACCAAGTCTTCCCTCTGTTTCTGTGCTGCATTAGTTTTTCAGCTTTTTGGAGGGTGTGAAATCTAAAACCACCACCCAGTCTTTTTTTCTCCTGATGAGACAGCATCTTCTGTGTAGCAAGAATAAACCCACATCCAGGATTTGGTTGTTAAAGTACAGCCTAAAGCCTGCAAAGGGACAAGTAATGCTTCTCCTCTCCTAGTGTACTTCACATCCCTGTTGAAGGGGGTGTGCCTCTGCCTCAGTAAGAGACCGTTTCCACCTGACAGTTAACAACCTACCCAGCAAAGTATGACTAAATTCTCACAGAGGTGAATGAGACTGCATGAAAGCTTTCCCTTCATTAAAAATTAAACAGAAGCTATTGAACAAAGCTCACCAGCAGATTATGAATGAAGGGGATGGTATTAAATCTCCATAGAGTGCTGGGGTGTGAGAGATTGCATTTAGCTCCTGTTGCTTATCAGAGGAAGCTGAGAAGTGCTGAGCATTTACTTACTCAGGATAATGTCTCAATTGCTGCTTTGTGTTAAAGCAGGTGTAGTCATTTACTTCATGCCCTGGCATTGTCAGTCTTCTCTTCACAGTAGAAAAGGCTTTCCTATAGTGTCCCTAAACATACAGATGCATGTTAAGTTTAGGCAATGCTTCATCTACAAGACTCTTCCAAAGTGCATTATCTTCATCATTGGCTGTTTCTGTTTACAGCTTTTCTGTAGAGCCTTCAGAGACCACAATCTGTGGTAATTGTCTATGTGTAGGTAATAGGACTGAGATCAAACTTAGCTGAGCGTCAATGTGTTAGAGATGATTTTTCAGCTTTGCAGGATGTATATAACCCAAGCAGAATGTTCTGTCCTGTTTCTGCCAGTTCCTATCAGCTCGTTTTTTCAAAGAAGCAAGCACAGACTTTTTAAATCTGTTCTCAAACATAGTTTAGGTTCTATCCCTGAGATACCTCACTTAGCACTGTGGGAAACTAAATTGCTCCTGCTTATCGTTTGCTCTTACAATAGATTAGTTGCAGGCTTGTAGGTATTTATTCCAAAACAGATGTTGCCTAACCAACAGGAGGACACAGATAAATATAGAACATGTAGTGGGGGAGGGAATCCCTTGCTGGGGCTGAGGCTCCATTCTTGGGACAGTAAATGTCAAAAGCTGATAAGAATTTTCCACCTCTTCTTGCAGCTGCTAACTTCATATCACTGCCAGTACTGTACTGCTTCTGGAGATCTGTCTTCCACAGGAGGCTGTGTGGGCAGAAGCTGCTCTGGGTTGAAAGCAAGCTCTCCAGCCTGCCCGGGAGCCTTGCAGCTATACAAGCCCCTGGGAGTGGTAGAGCTGTGCTTGCATGGCAGTCCTGCGGGCTTCCTCTTCCCTGCCTTTGCAGGTGGAAACAGCCTGGGTTGCAGATACTTAGGGATGTGCTTAGGGACTGGGTTTTATTTTGGGGTGGCAGTGCTGAAGTCAGAGCAGTGTAAGAGAGAAATAAGCCTAGCTGTAGTATTACTAACTTAATTTCCTGGCATCTGTAAGCTGCAAGAGCAGTGAAAGGGGTGAATTAAAGAGGGGTGAATTCCTCATTCTGTGTTGGTGTCATTTGGCTGTATTTCTCACAAGTCCTTGCCTGTCACCCTCGGCACCTCCACTCTGTAACTGATGTATTTATCCTGACTACTTTCCAGCAGAATAGAGAACACTGTTGTCTGTCAGCTTGAAGCAAAGTTATACTGGAAAGCAAATGAACTTCCTTAGCTCCTATATCCCATCCCCTGTTACGTGCATTGTCAGGATCCCACAGACTTTCTCTGAGACTTGGCCCTGAGCTAGGAGTCTCACTGGGGTGGTTTGATCATTAGGCCATAGCTAGATAAAGCTATCTACCTGAAAGGTGACTTTTCTAAAACTGTGCTTGATGCTCATAAGGAAAATAAGTCATACCATCTATTGGATTTTCTATTAAATGCTTTTCCCTTTCTGTTCTGTTCCCTTTCTGTTTCCCTTTCACATTAGAGTGGCGTCTATTCATCCTAAACTCCATTAAGGTATTACCTAAGTGCTACTGGTCAGTTTTGGTGTTTCACCTCTTACAAAAGGGGGGAAAAAAATACACACAGTGCAGAAAAGCAAGGGAGGAGGTCGCTTGATCTTAATACAGCTGTACAAGCATATGATACCATCTCTGGTTGTAGTTCCAAGTGGAACAAAGCTTACAGTTCAGGCTTCAGCACACGATTGCATAGCAGTAACCGTTCCCAGATAGGCTGCAAGGAGCTCAGTGGGAAAGACTTACTACCAGATCATGTTCTCATGCACAGCTTTGAGGGTGGGAAAATAATAATCTGTAAACTGGGGTACAGTTTATGTAGTCAGAGCTGAGATTTCAGGGCTACTCCGTTGCCCTGAAGGGCAGAGGATTGGGGTGGCTACCTCCAGCACAGCCGCTCCTCCACTGAAAGTGAGTTTCTGTTCTAGCTGTAGGGCAGTCAAGGCCACAGTAAATGCTGTCCTAGGACTTTGATGCTAGCTTTTTTTTTTTTTTTTGTATTGAGAGAGATTAACAAGCCATCTTTCTGCAATCAAAGTTACAACCTGGCTTCTACAAAACAATTTTGTTCTTCTATGCTGTTAATTATGGTGATGTTTGGGGATGGCCCAAGATGTGTTTGATAGCAAGCAAGGCATTACAGAGCAGACAATTTCATGAAGATATTTGCCCTCCTGTAAGGCTATATGTTGAGATAACGGGCTTCTGGAAATTCAACTGTGAATAAGAATGTATGTTAGAGGTTAAAGACTTCAGAAAGCAGCAATAAATGTGGTCAAAATTCTGTCCTTTCTCTTACAGTAGGCAGGTAAAACCCCTGCAAGCTGCCTGTGCTCCAAACTGCATTTGGTCATGATCTGAATTGGAACTGTACAAGGATCAGAGGACTGAGTGTTGCAGCCTGTGGGGTAATGAGTATATCAAGCCCCATGCAAGCGAGTATGTAACCCACAAAAGCGATACAAAGCCATGTGTTTGTGAAGTACAGCAAGCAAAAGCCAAATTGCTTAAGTTGCATAGCTCCCTTTTTGGTAAAAAGTGGGTAGCTGTGACCAATGGTATCTGAAAGCTCTGAAGTGCTGCAGTACCTTACCTCTGTTACTAGGTGTTTCTGGGACATTGGTTTGAATTGTGGGTTGTCACAGGAATCACTACAAATCACCATGGTCCATGGTGACCAGGTTCCCCTGGTGTCAAGGAAGAAGGGCTTCCCTGCTTTTCCTGCCTGAACCTGTAGTAGGTTGCAGGAAGCCATGGGCTGGCAAAAGCTTTCTAGACACACAGCCTCACTTGAAATCTGTGTCCAGAGTCCCACAGAGCGCAGAAGGCTGCTTGCTCATCTTTGGCAGACCCTTGGCCCTGAAGCTGACTTCCTTGGACGCTATTGTGCATCCTTCCAGAGTCCAGGAGCCATGGACTGCTGTCATTTCAGCATGAATGAGGTTCCTGTGCCATGAACAGCTGGTCTTATGCGAAGCCACCTTGTGGTTACCTGAGTCTTTGTACCATGGCTCTCTGGGGAACTCCTGAAGGCCTATCTGGCCAAGTCCTTGGCAGAGGCTGAGTGAGACTGCTCGGTTCTGGAAGGTTGTGGCCACTCTCCATTTTCATCTCTGCTTGTAGAGAGGAAAAGATTTCCTCTGTGACTTACCATGACTCTATACATCAGAAAGGCGGAAGTTTCCCTTCCAGAAATGCTCTTTGTTCAAATCCCAAGCTCTGTGCAGCTTGGTAAACAAAAACGCAGAGAAGATAAAGCTACATTTAACACAACCATGCAAATAAAACCCTTATCACTATCAGTAACCCAATCCTTTGATGGATTTCATTGTGCTGGGGTTTTGAACAGCCATTTGTTTCTTCATTGTGAAAGCTGATGTTTGTCAGCCTGCTCTTGATTAATGTGCTACTTCTCGCTTTATCTAAGCTACAGTAACCTTCTTGAAATTTAGTATGCTTTGTCTTAAAATAGAGAATTATTCTGTAATACAGCCTAGCACACTGCTGCTCAAAGTGATAGAAGTAGTGTAAAAGAAAATACTGCAGAAGGTGGGCTCAGAAGAAAAGTAACTGATAACCCATGCTTCTATAAAGTCTGAGAAATCAAGACTAGACATGACCATTTACTCACTCTGATTTCTTTACATATCTGTCTGTGTTTCCAGCTGTTTAAGCCTAATAACTTGCATTTAACCTATGTACCCATTTTAAAAAAAAGTCTACACATAAGTCATAGAGCTTTCGTTAAGTGCTGATGCTACACTGATGTCCACAAAATGCATTCAGGTAATGGATCGTGCCTTGAAAGTAGTACTATTTTGAGTACAGAAGGCAATTTTGCATTCAATTACAGAGTGATATAGTTCATGTTACTTCTGCTTTTACCTAGAGGTCTTCACAGAGGGCCTAGTGGCAGGGGGGTTGAGCTTTGTTCAAGATCCTTCCAACAAATCTGAAGGAGAAATAAGCAAGCAGCATGTGCAAATCTAGAGAGGCATTTATTGGTGTACTAACCATTCCATTGAAATTTAAGTGGCCTTACTAATCTGCCTCCCTCTATTTTTCTGAGAGCTCATCCTTAGAGTTCAATTCAGACAAAGCTGTTGTTAAATCTTTAAATAGAAAAATCACTGAATAAATGAAAAAAAAGGTCACTGTGGGCTTTGTTTTTCATTTTCATGCTTCCACAATACACCGCCATTAATGAGATCCTTGATGCTTGCTGTTTTCTGTAGTGGCACAGCAGCAGGAGGACGGGCAGCGCTTCCTCATGCTGACAGCTGTCCAACAGGACTGCTAAGGATCAAAACGTCTTTGATCCCAGTGATGTGACAACAGCTTCAGTGGTACAAGCAAATCAGTGTGTGCTTTATTTCTAACAATGCATCCTTGTTTTGCTGAGAATTAAGTTGTTGGATAATGTAGGAATGGTCAACCTTAATCAGCCACACTACTTAAACACCTCAGCCTGAGGAGATGCAGCTGAACAATGGATGTGTAAGTAACAAGTCATCCTCATGGCTGTGGGACACTGCAGTTTGAAGGACCAGACCTAGCTGATTGATCAAAAGCATACTGCTCGGAAAATAAAGAGAAAATTCAAATAATGTGTAAAGATCACTATAAATGTCACCACACATAGTACTGCTCATCCCTCATCATACCATTAGCAAATACAGATCAATAACTATGTGAGTGGGAAAAAAAAAAAAAAAGTGAAGACTTTTGAAAGTCTTTGAAAGACTTTGAAAGTGAAGTCTGAAAAATGTGTTAATTCAGATACAGAATAAGTAGAAAAGCATAAGGATATTGTGTTATTGTTTGACAAAAAAAAAAGTCTGGTCTGAAAACACCAATTTTAGCTTATCACTAGCTGAAATCAATAATAGATGTAGTCCACTCATTTTTAATCTCAGTAAAAGAAAGAATGTGCATTGCTTGATTCAAGAAGGGCTTCTATAATAGACAAAGAAACTAACTTCAAAGAGTCAATCAAATGCATTCAAAAATATACTGCTGGACTTAACGTGTTTGGCATCCAAAAAGAAGTGGTTATTATGTGGTTCTCTGCTAAGATATTTCCTTTCTCCTAGGTCAAGTTGTTTCTTTTTTTCTCTCTCTCTTTTTTTTTCTTTTTTTTTTTTTGTCATGTTGAATCCAATGTTACCTTTTCAGAATAAGGACTGTTACAGTGACAAAAAAAAAAAAAAAAAATTGCCTGCCTTCCCTGTACCCAGAGATTTTGCCTCATCCAACCAGCCCCCGCCTGCCCACAAAAACTCATGGCTTCTTACACCTGCAAACCCAATGTGCTCTTGGGATTCCCTCAGAGCTCTAAAATCCCACATTTTCTGACTCATTAACCCCGTTACTTGCACTAGAGCCAGACTTGGCACCCGTATTTCCCCACGCCCAGCCCTGGGAAGGGGGTGCAAAGGCTGGGAGGTGTTTAAAATTGCCATTGCACTGGGGCAAGCCGAGAGGCTGGGAGCTGCACGGAGACCTGCAAAAGGCAAGGCTGGGACTATTGCCCGAGGATGGGGCTGCAAAAGACTAGTCAAGTGCAGTAGTGGGAAGGGGGGAAAGAGAGAACGAGGAGATCAATCTGTAACTGACTGTGAACAATCAATTGAGATACCCCACTACCTTCGGACCAGCCAACAGCTACTGCCTACCAAGGGACTATTTATACCTCCACTATTACACTTCTCTTTGGATATGGCTACTTCTGATTCTGTGCCTCTGGTACCGTGTCCTTGCGCCATGATCTCGGTACCAGCCTTGCCGCTCGGTGCCAGGCCGGATTTGGGTCATTCAGTCACCGAGCGTGGCCAGGACACGGCCCTGCCGGCCGCCCCGCGCCGCGCTGCCCCCTGGGAAGGCGGTATGCAAATTAAGCACCGTGGCCATGCCCCCGGCCCCGCCCCCCGACACCCCCCCACACTCCCCTATTTTCTCTCAGAGGTGAGCTGGTGTCTGCCAGCTGAGGGAAAGGACAAAAGGGCGGCAGGAGGGGGTGCACAGGCACCCTGCGGCTTCCAAGACGTGTTTTAGAAGCAGCCCTATGGGGAAAAAAAGCATGTTTGTGCTCTGGGCACAAACTCCTACGCGCAGGGTGCCAGCAGGCGCGTGACGTACCCCTGGGACTGAAGGTCTCCAACAGGGCCAGTGTTCATGAACCCCTCGTTAAAAATAAACAGATGAGTAAAGCTGTAAGCTCTGCCAGCTGATCTCGTGGCTGGAGAGGCCTGGTCTGCAACAATTTGGACCTGAGCGTTCTGCCACCCTATGAGGCACGCCAGCACCTGGAGAAAGCAAGCATGAAGAAGAAACCTAACATTGTGACTGACCTCGCCAGTATAGCACGTCAGGAGAGTGTAGACTTCAGCATATGTCACCTGCAGGTGCATTTGGTAACAGAATGGAGCATCAGCAGTGTTCAAGAGGGACAGAAGCAACAGCAGTGGTTCTTTAGTATGCAAATGGCAGATCTCCAGCACAGAGCTCGAAGGAGGAAGGACAGAAGATGAAATGGATATCAAAGGAAAAGAATAAAAGATCTTCTTAAAGTAGAAAAAATATGCTCCCACTTGTGGTGAGGGCACCACATCTTTGCTGCTTTTCAGACACGCATGAATGTGCAATGGATTAGCATTGTTTTAAAGAAACTTCTGCAGTGTATATGCGCACACTTCAAGTGTGTGGTATGAATAGTTGTTTGTGATTGCCTCATTTTCCTGATATTTAATATACCACTTGTGTTAATTACCGGAGAAAATTATTCACAGCAATCTGTCCAAAACTGAAAATCTATAAAGTGCAATATAAATAATCATTGTGCAATTTTAGATTTGTTTAAAATTATGGTTATTCAAAATATCCATGACATCAGTCGCAGGATTTTTTGGTCAGTATCTTGGTGCCTTAAGACATCCCCATAGCTTTCTCATCAGGACTCACTTGCCAGCCAAGGATAGCAGCTTGCTTTGTACCAGCCCAGCCATTTATGCAGAAAATAGAAATCCCTCTCTGAAATCAGTCTTATTGTTGCATAAAGTAAGCAGAAAGCAGAAAATACATAAGTGGGCACAAGCTTGGTCTCAAGCTGAGAACATCATTAGCTCCAAAGAAAATGTTCTTTCTAGTGTATGTTGTATATTTCATTATATTATTTACTTTGTATAAATAATCTGACCAAAGCTCTAGCATGAACTTCAGCTGAATCAGTCTAACACGTACAGGACACCCAAGAAAGGCTTCATTCCGCTTCTATGCCACCAGTTGCTCCCTTGCTGGTCACTTCTTTGCTAGGTTTGTTCTCTGCCAGGTTAGTGACTTGAATTAGCTCACAGAGAAACTTAATGAGCACCAGAGGCAGCACAAGGCAAGCAGCAATGTTCAGGACAACGAGGAAAGAAAAATTGCACGTGAGACTACTACCCTCTGCCAGAAGCAAGCTGATAGATCTGGTCAGCTGCAAGAAGGGACTCCATGTCTCAGACCATCTCTTTAGCATATTTTTCAGCTTCTTCTGTATGTAGCACACACAGATATAGAGAAGCACTCATTCATGTAAATTATTTTCCCCTAGGCTTCTATCCTTCTTCTCAAGAAGGCTTCTTTCACAGTGAGAATACGACGTATCTACTCTGCTGGGGGCTGGGGGGAATCCCGGGCCAGCCACAGCTGCTTTCTTGCTTTCCGTAATCAAGGCACTGAAGTGGAAGCAATTGGTGGTTAATCCTCTCTAATTGCTACCTTTTTCCTCCCCCTAAGGTCTGTGATTATTGAAAGAAGTTGGGTTTTCCAAGCCTTGGAGAGCTTCTCTGCATTTATTTATTTATTTATTTATTTATCTAAAGGCCTGTGGGTACTGTCTCCATTAGCCACTAGGTCTGGTGTAATTCATCACTGGGATGGTTTCCGTAATTGACTGAATGCTTCCCAGCTGACTCTCACTTCAAACTCATGAAAGCTTCCTCAGTTGTCAGCATACACTTTGGGGAAATTGCCTCTTGGTTAGTGGATAGGCAGGACTGTGTGTGCTTTTATCTTGATGATCCTGCTCTGGTAGGTGTACGTGTACAATAAAGCTCTGCAGGCTGGAAGGCATGTCCTGTGAGGGGTGGCTGAGGACACTGGGTTCCTCAAGCCTGAAGAAGAGGAGATTGAGGGGTGACCTTATTGCTTTCCACACCTTCCTGAGGAGGGGAAGCTGAGAGAGATGCTTGTCTTTTTTTTCTGGTACCTGGTGGCAGGACAAGTGGGAATGGCTCTCAGCTGCATTGGGGAAGTTCAGACTGGATGTTAGGGAAAGCTTATTTACTGAGAGGGTAAACAGACACTGGAACAGGCCTCCAGGAGTGGTGGTTGATGTGCTGTGCGTGTCTGTGTTTGAGAGGCACCTGGATAATACTTTTAATGATATGTTCTAATTTTGTGTCAGCCCTGAAGTAGTCTGATGTGCTTGCACTTGATCTTTGACGGTCTTTTCCAACTGAACAATTCTATTTATATGCCCAAGCTGCATGCCATTTTGGTGCTTGTTGCAGAAAAGATGAAAGTATCTGGTACTTTAAGCCCCCAGTACATATGCAGGAGGAGAATAACTACCTATCTCTTGCCCACTGCTGTGTTTTCATGCCTTCTATCTGTCCTTTCCTAGAGCTATGACTCTGGCACATTTTTTCAACTGCAGCCCTGCAAGCTGCTTCTGCAATTGGTATTAGATGACCAATTGAGGTGAGTGCCTATGAGAGAGTAACAAAGTCTGATGAAGTAAATTATTTAAGAAAAAAAAAAAAAAAAGCAAACTTGTGGTTGCCTTGGAGTGGCCTGTAATTACCGACAGAAGCATGAAATAGGTAAAACTGACTATAACAGGAAAGGAAGCTGTCTTCATTACTTAATCAGAAAGAGTTTTGTGGTAAATTTTACACACTTCATTTTGAGGGGATGGATGCTTTCTGAGCAGCAATAAAACCTAAAACACAGAAAATGGCAAAGCAGAGAGAGAAGGGCTACTTTTACTGTAATTGGTCTGGAATCATATATTAAATGTTCCCCACATTTTTTTCTAAATGTTCTTTTTTTTTTTTTATTATTATTATTAATGCTGAAAATGCCTATATGCAGAGCATAAAGGCCAAGGATT